TTTTTGGAAGTGGTGTGCTCTTGCCTGCTTCCGAGGGCTGAGAGAGAGTGACTGGCCCAAGGTCCCCCAGCTGGCTTCATGCCTAAGGCAGGACCAGAACTCAGGGTCTCCCGGTTTCTAGCTTGGTGCCTTAACTACTACACAAGACTGGCTGAATTATATGCATAGGATATATTGATAGATGTTTGCTTCCTTCATATACCAATGTAAACATAGACTTTTAGTCAACTGTTGACAGCTAAAATAAAAAGCAGGTGAGGTTGCAAGTTCTTGAACTACAGTGAAAGTTTTGAATGGAATCAGCAAGAATTTTGACTTGGAATTACAAGTTCTATTAGGTTTAGCCGATAAGTATCTAGCCCAATGTTCTGTTTTCAGTTACAGAAAACCAGATATGTCTGGAAGTAAGACATAAGGGGATAAGCATTCTGTGTAACTTTTATTAATGCCCAGCATTGACATTCAGATTGTAAGGAATTAGCTGGTAATTTGTCTATAGAAATGTAGTAGAAGATAATAATTGTCTTGCAGTATCATTCTGAATTTATCCTGCTCTCTTTTTCTGTGCCACTGTGTTCATGATGGATAGGTACTGGGGAGTTTTAGATGATTATAAGTTGCTGAGTAAGGAGTTATATTTCCTACATGTGCTGACACAATCTGATAGACATATTGTTTTAAATAAATAAAGGTAGTTTAAGTGTTATGCCAAGAGTATTATAAAGAATGAATCCTAGCATAAACAAAAGAAGTGATAGTTTATTATAAGTCTTCTAATGGATAGAAAGATAGAAAAATGATATATTAAAATCCAAAGAAAATGCAAGTAATCGTTATACTATTTAAAAATATAGTTCTTCACGCCTATTGAATTGTGCAGGGAAAACTAATCTTTGCTGTCATATGTGAATTATCCCATGTGAAAAGATTAACTGGAAAGAGAGACAACCCTGATGTTTTAGTAACATAAAGTATGATGGATATAAGCGTTATAACCACTGCTGAATATGAAACCTTTCAGTGCTTTTTAAGATGGATTTATTTCATTTGCAACAATTGTCTTTTGCCAGAAGATGAATGAAAACCAGAGAATAAGGTCTCTAAAATATGTTTCATAGTTAGACTTAGATAGCTGTTCCTAGCAATGGTCTGAAATGTTATCTAAACAGAGGTATTTTCATCTCTGCAATATGTAAAGATTATTACAGGTTTATTCTGTAGCAAGACAGTAGCAGTATGGGATTCTTACTCTTTTTGTTTAAATGGGGAGTTTTGTTGCTGTAATGGTGTATTATTTTAGAACTGTATATATATTTAATATTAGACTTTAATGGTGTTACTGCTGTGATTTTTGTGTACCTTACTCAGGTAAAGAGAAGTGACTCATGGATTTTTTATTAAAAGAATTTCCTCACTTACTGAAATTTCTATCCAAACCTCTCCCCTAGATGCTACATACGTATAAAACCTGTAACTTCTTTTGGATTTATTTCACAGAAACACAGAAATGAGGGGTTTCGGGGATTTTTGTTTTTTGTTTTTGTTTTGTCTTCCAGAACCTTAACAAAATAAAAAAATATTGATTATAAGTAGATTATCATTCAAGAAACCATTTATTTGTTTATCATTCAGTTACCAAAAATGATCTTGAAGAGAGAGGGGCAAATCATAATTGATTAAAATGTAGTCATAATATTCAGTGACAAAATGCAGCATACAATTACTTGTTGCTGTGGCTAGCATTATCATTTTCCACTTGTAAACATTTATGAAAGTATACAAAATGCTAAAATTCATACTTCTGAAATGCAGTTCATTCCACTTGGAATATCTTCTTTAGAACAATTCTGTACTGAATTATTGCTCTTACTAATATTATTTAGTAGGAGCCCTTTAGAACAACTTTCTAGTTTATTGAGGGGGGGGCTGTTTATATACAGGAAATAAAATGTTGCTAGGTAAGCAGGTCATGACTTCATTATGTACCTGTGTTCTTTCCCCCCCTTTTCACTTTCACTTTTTATCTTGATTTCATATTTTTTTAAAAAATGTCTAGTAACAGTCCAAGCTGATCTACCACTTCCCATCTTTCAGCTTAAGTCTGGAAGAATATAGAGAAGACATAAAAGCAGGCACCTATGTACTGCATAGGATTTTTACAGATCAGAGTGATGACAGGTGGCCGACAGCATAGATCAGAGGTACACAATAGTGTCCTTTATATTCATGGTACATGCTGCCTATCTACCTACTTTCTGTCTCTAGGAAGGTGCTGCCAAGGTAACAGTGTCCCAAGGAAATGTATCACATTTCTTTGGGCACAAAAGAGAGGGTGGGAAAAAGTTGCTCAGGGTGGGGTGGAATGACCATCTTCTAACTTTTTTTTTTAATCTGCTTCTTATCTTTTTGCTTATTTGTTTTGAATTGCGTTGGATTGGATTCTTTTGTTGTAAAGATAGTCCTCATTTAATGACTGCCCTGTTTAGCAACCGTTCAAAGTTACGACAGGGCTGAAAAAGTAACTGGCACTTATGACCATCACCACATCTCCATGGTCACCTGATCGAAATTTGGGCACTTCACAACCGGCAGGCGTTTATGCAGCAGCATCTCGTGGTCACATGGTTGCCGTTTGCATACTTCACAGCCAGTTTCTGACAAGCAGGGTCTATGGAGAAGCCGGCAGTAAAACTGGAAATCATGGTCACATGATGTCTCACTTAACGACCGCAGGTGATTTGCTTAATTACCTCAGCAGAAATGACATCGTAAGTCTGGCGCAGTCAGTGATGTTTTGGTTAACGACCACGTCATTTAGTAATGGAGTTACTGGTCCCAGTTGTGGTCGTTAAGTGAGGACTACTTGTATTGTGAGCTGCCCAGAGTTGTTTGGAGTCAGGTTGCATCTAAATAGAATTTAATTTAATTAATTAAATTAACTTCCTGAGCTCAACTGCAGGTGCATAGCTCCACAAAAGAATGATAAGAGCACTGCAGGAATTGAGCCTAATTTTGTAAACAGTGTTTATGTTAGTACACACCATCTAAATAGAAATGAAACCTCCTAAATGGGCAGCTGGAACAGTGAAAGGAAACAAATGAATTCAATCACTTTTTCATAACCATTTCTAAAGATACTTGTTTTTATGACCTTGAAGGCAGACATAATAGGCTCCATGTTTTAATTTTTAAAAACATTCTTTCATAAGTTGTATCCACTCTGAAATCAACCTTTTCTTTTCTATTTCAAAGGACCATTGTAGGCCCTCATGGAACCAATCGGTCCATACACCATGTTGCATTTTCAGACTGCCAAAATGGATTAGGTAATTAGATTACGTATTCAATTTACTCTAATAAAGTAGGAGTGCCACTATGCTGTTATGGGCAGGTGGTCCACTCTGATGTAGATGGGATTTGAAATGTATACAGTTATTTAGTAATTACCATGGTGTGTTTACCACAGTGAAGAAAATAAGAAAATAACCTGTTTATATCTTGCTTGTTTTGCTTGCTCAACAGGCATTAAAATTATTGGAGGCTGTCAAGATCAATCTGAAGAAGAGTATGGAATTTTCATAAAGGAGATATTACCTGAGAGGATAGCTGCTACAGATAGTAAATAATTACTTGTAATCTTCATTTGTGGCAATGCTGCTAAAAAAAAAGAGCTGTATCATTCCATATCTTGATTTTTCTATTTTTTTTAATTAAAATTCCACACATCCAGGCCATCTTCTCTTTCCTTCCTCTGCAGCACTCCCTCATTCTGTTCTAGAAATTCCTTCCAATCCTCTAAAGCAGAGGGAGATTACACAGGAGAGGCTGGGGCACCACATCCATAGTTCCACTGATGGAAACCATCCTATCAGTTGAAAAAATTCCTTGGATTTCATGCATTAGATTCAAGTGAGAGAAGTTTAGGCACACTATATACCTGATTTAATTAGGCTTGCAACTTCTCTCTGGATCATACATACAGTTAAACATGTTGGTGGGTAGGTTATCATGTTGTGAAAAAAGCTAAACTTAATCTGCAGGGGGATTAGAAGAAGTTACTTTTAGGTCCAGACAGTCATGGAGCGCTTTGGAGCTAAATTACATTTTCCTATCAGGTGTGTTGACCAAGTAGAGTGGGAAAGCTTCTCTAACCCCACCTTTTCTGTCCCCATTTTACTTCCCATAGTGTGGTGGATAAAGGACAGGAAGGGTGGAATGGATGGCTTCCCCCTGCCATCTCTGTCCATGGGGGCTCCAAAATCTGTTGGGCTGCCATGGACTTCTTTTTTTTTCTTTAACTTTTTTTACTTTCCTCTTTACTGGAAATGCAAATTCATCTTTTTATTTGCCTTCCGACCTCTTATGTATCAACTGGCAGGACTTCAAAAATGTCAGTCCCCTCTTTAACCAGGACACTGTTGACTATGTGTTGTTGGTGCACAATGGTAGGCCTTTACCAGCGGGGAATAAATAACCAGGTCATAGGAACACAGCTATTAATATTTAGTTCACTAATTCAGGGCAATAAGATGGGATTGAGGTATTATATAATAATAGGTATGTCATATAATAAGATTCATATGATAGTTAAGTTACCTCAACTATAATGTCCTTACATGATATTAGAAGGGCATGACAGAAATGTTCATGCAAAAATAGTAAAATAAGTGAAACATTAAAAAATGGGATAAAAGACTAAATGAAAATTACCTTAAATCATTATGAAGTCCTATATAAAGATATAAATAAAATAAATGTAGTCATTCAGTAGTCAGCTAGAAAGTAGCTAATTACTAATCTCGTAGCTGTGTCATACTGCTGAAAATATATCAAAAGTAATGTGACATTTTTTTGTCCAAGTGTTTTTTTTTTTTGGTGAGGAGTTTTTTTCTAAACAAAGCTTTGTTTTCTTGATGTAGCTGAATTAATTGTCATGATTTTTCTTTTCAAGATCAATTGTGTATTGGAGATTTGATTTTAGAAGTCAATGGCCAAAAATTATGTGGTGTAACTAATGAAAGGTAAGCTCTAACATTCAATTATAAGCATGAACTGGAATGGCTAGCATTTATATTTACCTATTAGTATTTTAGATCAGATTAGCTGCAGATATATATCAAGAAAAATGCCATTGAAGCTTATAGGGTTCTGTCTGCTTGCACTAGAGCAAAATGCCCAAAATGCGGGGAATATATGATCGACCAAGATATCTGTGGAACCAAGGTCCCATGGTCAATTTCTGAGAATACATCTTAAAAAAAAGAAAAAGAAAAACATAATTTTGAAAACACGGATAAATTGCCATTTCTGGACACTTTTCACAAACTTCCACATAGAGTGCATTGCAGCACAAATAGTCCTCATTTAGTGACTGCCTCAAGTAACTTTGTGACCAATGACAATAATAACTCTTCTTTTGACAAATAAATGTTATATCTAACCTATGACTGAATGTTGAGATATATTGTTCTGGATTCTTATCTTGTATTCTAGTTTCTTCTTGCCTTACAGAATATTAAAAATGAAAACATATATTAAAAAGTTTTAGGAATGTTCAAGGGTGTGGATTGCCTTCTTGGAATTAAATGGTAAAGACCAATAGTTGGGTGTCTTTAGCGCATTGATGGCATTCAGAGCTCTAAATGATCTCCAGTGGTTTTATATAGATGATATATATATAGGACAAGACAGAGAGCCCTGTGGAACATGATAGATCAATAATAGTCCCTTAGCACCTCTTGTTATGTGCAGTCCTAGCAGGAATGGCCAGAACTGTTGTAAGATAGTGTCTCCAAGTACCAGTCCTGCCAGATAGTTCAGAAAGATACCATAGTCCAGCAAATAGAAAGCTAGCAAGAGATCAGAGAACTAGCAGGATTGCACTTCCTCCATCTAGTTTCCAATATAAGACATCCATCAAGATGATCAAAGCAATCTTAGTTCCATACCTCAGGCAAAACTCCTTTTGAAATTGGTTCAGGTAATCAGTTTCATGCAAGTGTGTCTGGAGCTGTGGGGCCACTTAATCATATTACCCAGGAATGAAAGATTAAAAACAGGTCTATAATTACAGTTATACAAAATGGGCTTTTTTAGTAAAGGTTGTGTAACTATTTTAGTAAAGGTTGTATAATGTGTAAAACTATTTTAGTAAAGGTTGTGTAACAGTGTAAAACTGTTTTAGTAAAGGTTGTGTAACTTCAAGCAAATGGGAATATATCACTCCCTTAATAAAATAATGATCGCCTCTTTTAACCATGGGGCCAGTCCCAATCTGGCTCAGATGAGTGAGGCAAAGGACAAGCAAGCTGGTTGTGGCCTTCACCTCTCCACACATACTCCATCCACATCCTCAAGTTGAAAAAGAACCCTATGAATGGGACATTCCTATGACCTGCCCCAACACTAGACTCCAAATCAAAGTGAATCCAATCAACTTCATCTGCAAAGATCAATAACAATTGCCACAGTGAACTTCCAGCTGCTTGGGTCTCTTCTAACATCTTCAGGGATGAAATGCCACACAATATGAAAAAGCATCACTGGCTTGTTCCATGCAACCCAAGTCAGAAAAGGAAACCATCTTCACTATATCCACTGCCGTGAAGAATGAGTGCAAAATGACCTTTAAGGAGGACCCTAGTCTATGTTTGGACGAAAAGTTCCTTCACTTGTGCTTCAACGAGTCTGTCTGCCTGGGATTTTTAATCTCTAGAATCATGCATCATAGCCTCGTTATGCCAACATTTAGTATTGTTAAAAACACTGAATATGTAATCATTCAACTAATGGGAAACAATTACATAAAATAAATTATGGCAATGCTTTTGTAGCACCTCAGGGGAGAAATCAGTACATTTAATTCTTCATTTTTAACTTTTCAGAGCTGTTGACATATTACAAATGGCATCGGCAACCAATCACGTGTCTTTACTTATTGCCAGAGATGAAGATGCAAAGTAAGAAATGTTAAATTTCCCCAAGTCCTAGAAAATTATACTAGATCCAAGGTTGACCATAGATTTTGACATACCCCCATTATAATTGATGACTTTAATTTTCCCCCCTCTTTACTTGATCTCTTCCCTTAGAACTTCTTTTAATAGTGTGTGAACTTCCTTCAGCTCACTGCAAAAATGTATTAATAGTTTTCAAGTTTTCCTGCAGGCTAAAAAACAAACCAAAAAAACCCCCCATCTCTATCCTTTTTGAGAAAAGTAAATAGCAATTGTTGCCACTTTAATAAAATCAAAAGAGAAGTGAAATTAGATGAGAATCATAAATGTATGTAGATGATTCCTGCTGTCTGTTCTTGAAAACTGAAGTCTGAAACTTTGTTTTCCTCATCTATGAGTTTTAGACTTGCGGACTTGTAGTCTATCAAATCAATGATTGCAGCAGGTTCACTGATAACCCTATCTTATGACCTTTATGAATAGAGTTCTCATATAGCAGCCTTCTCCAACCTGGTGCCTTCCAATGTCTCTAGACTACCATTACCAATATTCCCGGCTAACATTCCCAATGGCCTTGCTATGTGAGGATTCTGGGAGTTGTATTGTTCGCATTATCTCTGGAGGACACTGCAGAGTTGAAGAAAATTGTTGTTAGACAATCACGCTAATACAACATTAGTCTACATTAGATTTCCCTTTTTACTATTACAATTCTGCTAGCATGGACGTATACATGTTTCAATCTATCTTTGCTTGCTTGCTTGCTTGCTTGCTTGCTTGCTTGCTTGCTTGCTTGCTTGCTTGCTTGCTTGCTTGATTGATTGATTGATTGATTGATTGCTTGCTTGCTTGATTGATTGATTGATTGATTG